AAAATGGCAAAATTTGGACCCAGTGAATAACAATCAACAGCTGAGAATGAATATGTGTGCATGTATTGCAGCCTGCCCAGGGATACAGTCAGATATGTTATTAAAATGCAGTAGGTATCTTTGCTTTGGCAGATACCCAGAAAGATGTTGTGAGAAAATGTAAAGATGTATAAAACTGATCATTTAGCATGGTTTAATAAAAGTAAGTACATAAGCATTAAAAAGTAGAAGCTGGATAAAAGAATAGTATCATAATCATTCTTACTAGAATCTGGAAGGCTCTCACTAATATCATAGAAATGTCTGTAATATAATTTGTATTGCATTTTTATATTACATTTCATATTTTGCCATCCATACCTTCTGTCCTTGTCAGCACAGGCATTCTTGTCTCTTTTCCCTTTTTCTTCTTTTTATCTAATATTTTACTGTAATGATTTAAAACAAAACAAGACAAAAAACTCTAATGACACATCTAAGATCAGCAGAAAAAAATCCCCAAAGAAAAATATAGTAAATGTGATCACAGCATCTGATGGCATCCCTTTCTTTCTCCCCACCATGTGGGCAGACTTCCGAAGCTTTAGCTCCATTTTCATTCTGTCCTCATTTGGCTGACCCTTCTTCAGTGGAATCGGTGGATCTTTTTGCCTAAGAAAGAGATGGAATAAAGTGAAAGGATAAGTTTGAGGGGTGGTTTGTCTTCCCTAAAGTGTGTCTGTTCTCATTCCCCCTTGCATCTGCCCGTGCCGCCACCTATATTTTAAGCATGCCTTCCCACCCCCAGATCCATCTGGCCATGACACGGCTCAGGGATGACTAAAGCAGCACGCAGGAGCTTCATGTGACCATGTTGTCACTTGAGATTCATTTTCACCCCTTGGTTCCTCTCGGACCTTCCCAGGGGCCGCAGTTTACAAGCCTATTGCTCCCTCTAGAGCCCTTCAGCCCCGTGCTGGGTTGTTCTGGGAGACCACTGACATAAATCCCTCATCCTGCCGGGTGTGAACTCATGGCTCTCTTTGCTTTCAGACTCGGTCAGATGGGATGCAGCTGAATATTGCCAAGCAGAGCACGGGTACAACACCTTCGGATGCTCAGGAACCGGAGGCTGATCCTGCTTGTTTGCTGGCCCAGGAACAGCCTTGCTGGGCAGGCACTGGCAGATGTTATGCTTTGTGCTTCCTCTTAAGTTCTTACAGCTTTGCACGGCATCCAGGGATCTCACAAGCAATCCTGTAAAGTCAGGAGCTGGGGACAACTGACTTTAGCTGTCAAATCAGCAGTAACTCTCCAGGGCTCTGTTGGTAAGCTAGTCTCTAACAAACCCTTTGGCAGTCTCTGGGTATCATTTCAAAAGTCAGTATTGCGTTTTGGCCAGAAACGCTACTGTTTCCATTATTTTTTTTTTCTGAAAGGGTACTGACATTAATGCTCCTGCAAAATAAATGTTACCAGGCAATTTTTCCTACCCTAGTTATGCGGGAATACTTGATGGAAGCAGTGAGTCCTGTGCTCTACCCATAAACATACGACAGCATGTCTGATGTCAGTGAGGAGGGTTTCCAAAGGCAGCGCTCTGTCCCACATCTGGAGAATTTAATCTTTGTGCTCATCAGGTGCTCTGTGCCTGACATTAGGAGCTGCCAGGGATGGCTGCAGATAGCAGCACTCTCTGAAAGGACTGCTGGACCCCAGAGAGGCACAGCTTGGCATGGGCATCACCCTTCAGCCCTTCCACCATTGGCACAGACTCCCATGATGATACTGTAGTGATTGACTTAAACGTGTCGAGGAACACATCATAGACCCAAAGTAAAAGTCTCCGATTTTGATGTTAGTCAATGAAGGGCTACATGCTGGCTTGCTGTCACCACTGGGCCATAAAGAAATTGTCATCATGACTGTTTGAAGCATCTGAACCTGGCCAGCATTTCAGAAGGTCCTCCTGGGGTATGTGATCCCTCTTTATAGTCACTAGAGAGGTCAGTCCTTCACTTAGGCTGTCTGACCCAGCTTTGGAGGCACCCACTCCTTCCTGAGCTGAGCAGGCATGCACAGTGCTCAGCATAGGTCTTCTGCCCTTAGTTAGGAGGTCCAGTTACTTAGAAATCAGAAATCATGACATCTGCTATATCCTCCAGTGCTAGGGAGTCTGAATATGGCCTGCAGTGACTGATCTGGTATTATATCCACCAGTGTAGTCTGCTGCATGTTTTATATCTATCTGTGTGTGTGTGCTGGTATATAGGTGTATTGTACAAGCATATGCTGAAAATAAAAAATTATCTTTTATCTTGCCTGTATCATAATACATAAAAGCAAGGAGGGGAAGTTTATTGTCATGCTGTCATCCCAAAGCAGGTACACCCGTAAAACATATATTTCACTAACAATACCTGCAATCTAAACCTGCCTTTGTCAACCAGGCATATAAATGATGAATAATGTAGAAGCTATGAATAAAAATGATAAAACCACTTAATAAAACTAAATGTAAATGAAACAGAACAACCAGAGAAAAGCACAGCCAGAATTATTGGTAAGCAGCAATGAGTGACATGTAGGTTTATGGTTATATAGCCCTGTGGTTAACCAGTATGTGGTTAATGAATAGTCTTCTGTCAACAAGAAGTAAGCTAAGTATCTTCCTGCTTTTGCCAGCTTGTATCACAGACTTATACTAGTTCTGAGATCTCTGTTTTGTAGAAGATCTTGAAAGTAACTTTGCTCCCCTCTTCTTCTTTATTCTGGTCTTGTAGACTGATAATGTGGCCACATTGTCCTTACAGTTCATCATTCTAATGCCTTTTTTTCCTGCATTTTTTTCTATCTTGAAACTCTTCGAAGGCCTTCTATAGAAACAAATTGACTGTATTCTAGCAAAACAGCAGAAGCACCTTACCTAATGCATCAGCTGTTGGCAAAAAATAAACTGGAAGCAAGATGGAAGTACTGCAGATTAGTAAAGGGAATAATGCATATTTTCAAAGTCTCCCAGTCTTGGAGATCTAAGTGTTGCATCTAACAATACAGGGAAACTATTTTTTATATTTTTAAAAGAAAAAAGAACTACCAGTGCCTCTCTGATATTTGTTAAGTCTAATGCTATGGGTGTTAAAATTTGTTGGAAGAAAGCTTATTGAGCTTTATTGTTAATGCCTCATAGAAAGATCTGGTGTGGTGGAAAAAATAAAAAAGCTTTATCACATAACTTGGTATTAAAAAATGTCAGGAACACCATGATCCTTGGTCAAGGTAGGTGTAGGACACTAGAGTTGGGGTCCAAAGGCCCTGAGACAGTGATCTAAATTTACTTATGCTTCACTTGGAATTCTTTTGATCTCAGGGACTGCTTTCTAGTAAGAATGTGGAGGTGAAAAGATAGCGGCCTGGGATCTGGGAGGTTTGTATTTCAGCTTCTGTTTTCTCAGGGCTGTGATTCAGGATTATTGTCGGATTTAGCTGCAGCAGCCAAAGTGGTTAGCATCACTGGCCGCAGGCTTCCTGTGAGATCTTGGCCAAGACACTTTATCTGCCCACAGTTCCTCATCTGTAAAGTGGGGAGAATACCTCTCTAATTCACAGGGATGCGATGAAGACAGCTTCCAGTAACAGCTACGTGTGTGCAGTGCGCTCACTGTGCTGTTGATGCAGACCATTAGCACCACACTAGGAATCGCATTAAGAGAAATATTGAATTGCAAGTAAATGTGCACAGGGAGGGGGAGAATATTGCTGCTAGAGGCAGGCATTTATACTTGTATTTACATTTATATTTATATTTATTTATATAGATAAACCAAGCAAACTATAGGAGTGGGAGATCTTAGGAGGGAAGAAACTCCTCCTTCAGGAGGGCTGGAGCCAGGCGATGGAATGAGCAGGCAGAGCTGTATGGGAAGGGCACAGCATGTGCCCAAAGGAGAAGGACCTCAATGTTCTTACAACGGTTCCTGGTTATCTAACTTGAGGTGATGGCCCTTGATGTCTCTGACTGATAATGAAGATTTCTGCCAGTGTCTGAGTCCTCTGTGATGCTGAGATAACGATGCTAAACCTGCTGACAGCCAATGTTTTCATTGCTGCCCAGGCCAAAGTCGTAATGAATACATACATGAGGTCTTATCAAGGATAGAGAAAGTTTCTTCTGTTACTGAGTAAATGCCTAAAGTAATGCTGGCATTGGCCAAAAGTGAATCCAGAGGTAGAAGGATTTGAATGCATCACAGTCTCAAGGGGATACAAAGCCATCCAGCCTCCCCAGCAGCCATCCAAATGAGCACTTTTCAGAACTCTGAGCTGTGGCATGCACACAACAGTTTTGAAAAGGCCTTCACAGTTTTCTTACTGAATAATAGAGAAACTGAGCATAATGCTCCGCTATGTCTTCATAAAAAGTTTTAATTCTCTGCGGACAGGCAGCGGGGATTTTTTATTTTTTCCATTCCCTTGTCTCTTGGCATTGCAATAGCAGATTATTTTTAAAGGGTTCGTAATATGGAATTGATCTAATGCTAGCTTCAACACCAAAGCATGGGATTTTACGATCTGCCCAGGGGACCTGAGCACCCAGTTCTCTTTAATTTTAACAAGCACTGTTGATCAGATTCCCGTGGCAGTTTTGGAAGAGTCAGCCACAATTTTCAAGCTTCTCTGAACTAACAGCCTTTAGAAAGTACAGATAATGCACCAGTAGTCAAGTAGATCAGATAAACTACAACAGTTAGGGGTAACCACCTTATTTTACAAACAAAATGTAGATCATTTACATATAAATTAATATTTTTTTTTCAAATGCTTTGAGCAGTTGCCACAGAGGGAATGCATCCAGCATCAGACAGTGGTGAGGTTATACACCACACTGTCTGTGCTCATATCTGTCCTTAGATATGGACAGATGAAGTGTTTTGGTGCCATTTGGAGTGTTCTGGTGCTATTGGAAAGGACAAATGCACCTTTTCTTGATGTATGTTCAGTAACCTTTTTTCCTGTTGCAGGGAAAAGCTTCACGCTGACCATCACAGTTTTCACGAACCCTCCGCAAGTAGCCACGTACCACAGAGCCATCAAGATAACGGTGGATGGACCTCGAGAACCCAGAAGTAAGTGAACTAACAACAACATTTGCAAAAGGTGATGTTGATGGTTTAGTACAGGGATTCCTCACCAGCCACATGAGATGCAGCAACCTCCAGTGCATGGGGAGCCGTGGATGTGCCTCAAGCCAAGGTTGTCCCATGAATGGTTTTAATTATGTCTTCCTGAAGCCTTATTTTTCATGGGTGCCCAGCTGATCCAGAGTATGAATTGCATTGCATTTATGAAGTATCTACCCAGGGATGACTTGGATCATACCCAAAAGCTGACAAAAGGGATGCTGGTAAAAGGTGGGCAGTGTATACCCTATGCATCATTTCTTGCTAGCCTCGCCTTTCAGATGTTAAGAGGGTTTTAAAGCATTGGAAACCAATATGTCATTGATCCAAATTTTCAAGCTCAGCCACCCTGCAAAAATAAATAAATGTCTGAGAGAGGACACCTGGTTGCTGCATGGTAGAGTTCACTGTGCCTCACTCCACGGTATAACTTGGGAAAACAGTAATTGCTGAGAGTAGTGCTTCCAACAAGCAGATGCAATTACCCCACTGGGACACCCGTTCTCACAGACAAGCAATCTCTCCTATATATTTCTTTCTTTTTTTAAGAATAAATTATAAGGAGAAGATGAATGATTTGGTATCTTCAGGGAATTGCCCACACCTTTCACACATGCAGTTGTTTTTGTGAGGTTGGAGGGAAGGTTGCTTTGTTTGGGATGGAAGTGGGGTGAGGGTGGAACAGACAGGCAGATGTAAATGCTCCTGCAGCACATGCTCTGCCTGTTACCAGAGGCAATCCTTAACCTCAGTCACTAGCCCGAAGTGTGGAATTTTCATATTTTTATCGAAATGCCCTGATGCAAATTGAGGTTTGTGGTTAGTTTTTCACTCCTCCTGCACACTTGGCAGAAGTTCTGGCTGTTGCTTAAGTGGAGTCGTCCCGGGAGAAGAGAGCAGTAAGATTCAAACACCCACTAGAGAATGAGACTTACGGCTCTGGGCTACTTAACTGAGTGATGGAAAAAAATAATGATTTGAAACTTGAGTTAAAATAGCTTAGAAAACTCCTATCTTTCATGTACATTTTCTTCCTGAGCCTTCATTCGTCTGAGTTGTGTCGTGATACTGCATATATTTAATGGAAGATTCTGTCCTATATTTTTTGGATTTGAGGCCAGACTTTAAAACAAATATTGCTGTCAGGGCAAGGCTTCTTACTTAGTTTGCATTTGTTTTTCTGAAAACTGTGGTTGGATTGTCCCTGAAAAAATATCCCCGGTGAACAAGGCAGCTGTGCACATAAAATAGATATTTGTATATGCAAGCTGCTGATTTGTGTATGCAATTACCTGGGCATGTTCATAGTTTGCACACAACAAATAAGCGTTAGTTGTTTGAATATGAGTCTGCTAGAATAGTAAGAAACAAAACCATCCTGCAGGCATACCTACTGTTTTAAATCAATTCTTCAGTTGCTATAGTAGTTAATATTTAATAAGATTCTACATTTTAAAAAGGAAGTAGAAATATAATACATTCTGAAGCAACACATGTATCTTCCTGACTCAAATGCATGTAAAAGCTTCCTTGTAAATGATTTCACTTTGTCGCGGGCAAGTCAGAGGTATAAAGGAGCTCCACAGTCGGGGAGGCTTTATGTGTGTCGTGAGCAGCGGTCAGCCCCCCCTTGGCAGGAATGCACAGCTCCTTTTATCGCTAAATCACTCCTGAGGCAAGGTAGAAGGGATTATGCTCCTTTCACTTGTAAGGGGGCTGCAAGGTCCTTCAGCCTGACTTCCCACCAGGGGTTTCTGAACTGCGGCGGCTGTTGCAGTCAGTCTGGATGCTGCAGTCCTCCTGGTACATCTGACTGAAATACTGGGTGGCTCGGAGGAATATAGCACACGCTGCGAAGGAAGGAAGAAGTAGTTCCCAGTGCTTTCCCCATTCCTTGTTCCTCACGTGTTTGGAACAACCCTTACTACAGCTCAGTTTTCCCAGCTAGCACCACGTCACCAGTTTCTAGTAACTAAACTCAGAATCCATTCTCTCCAAGTAACTCTTGTGGCTCTGAGACAGTTCTGTCTGTTTTGGGCTATACAACTCTTTTTACGCCCTCACTCAGCGGGTGCGTCCTGTTCTGCACTGACCCGATTAGATCAAGGTGCATTTGTAGCCTGTACAAAAAGTGATTGCATGGCATAGATTGCTACCTGTACAAACTCACATGTAAGGGATGTGGTTGGACATAGCAGCACATGCATGCTGTGTCCTGAAGAGCTTTGAAATGATATCAGCCTTCTTGCTTGCATTCAGGCAGGAATCAAAATAAAAGCTGCTAGATTAGAGGAGGGTTTCTAGCTTCAGTGATCAATATTTGGGAACTTCCGTGCCTGGAGATCCATGACTCACTCTCTCTCCTGAGCTGAAGAAACTGCAGAAATACTGAGCTGGGTTTTCTAAGATGTCCTGATTCAAAAGAAATCTGAGGAAGGTAGCAGTGGGAACAAAATTAGATACTGCTTTCTTGCAGACCTCTGGAAAAAAAAGCATACTTAATTCTGAAACCAACTCCAGCAACTTATTTTTAATTCATTTACTTTTTTTTTGTTGTTCGTAACAGTTGCAGATAGACTGAATTCTAGTGAGTGCCTATGTTGCCTGCAAAAAATATTGGAAGTTAAGGTGCCATTTTTGAGAGGGGAGGCAATCTGAGACAGAACTCAGAACTTCGTACCAGGACAATTTTTAGTGACTCTGAGAGGTTGTAAAAATACTTAAAACAAACCAAACACCTTTAGACTGATTAACTTAAGAAATAACAGAAACACTTTATTTCTTTCATCTTCAGAGAATGATAGATTAGGAGCAGTTTCTGAGTCCTCACCAAGTTAGATGCCATTCTAATTCTAATGGTTCTAAAACCAGGGGTTTTTAATGAAAAGGACAACTTCTTCAGCTATGCATGCTTGGGTAAAAGATCTTCAAAAAGTAATGCCATTTTGGGAAAGTAGAAAAATACTCAAATTAAAGGCTCCAAAAGGAAGGACTTTTTGGCTCACTGTGATGTGTGGAGATGTCACGATATGTGACGATAGCATGGTGTGTGTCATCACATGTGTGCACCTTCCCTTTCTGCACAAAGGCCTGACTGTCCAGGTTTTCAGACTATAGATTCTTGCATTGTACATTTGGTCACAGTGTACAAAGTATGGCCAATTCTTTGCCCAACAGCCTATTTGCATATGTAACTACCAGATTTGCATTTACAACTTTGATAATTACTTGTGTGCATTATTTACACCATTGTCTTTTTTTTTGCCATTGAATTTCTGACTGTGCCTATCCAGATGATACTTCTCATCAAATTGTCATGGTATGTAGAGAGAGCCAAGGTACTTACAAATCTGGCTCTTCCTCCACTGCATTCATTATGTATTTTTAAAATCTCTTTTGAACTCAGTATTTTCATTCTCCGGCTTTACTGAAGTGCTTATTTTCATTTTATTTTTTTTTAATTTTTTATTTTATAAAAAGAAATGATACTGCACTGTCAGTGAGAAGGGCAAGATGACCTAACCCATCATTTTCTTCTCCAACTTCTATGCTTCTATGATTCATAAAGCAATTTATGTTTTTATGAGCTAAGTCCATGGGGGAAATCATTAGCAGTAACCAGATCAAGAGTAGTGCTCCTGATGAAAATACTTTTGGTTGGGAAACTTGGTAGAAATAGTATGACTCTTAAATTAAATATTTCCCTTAGGCCATTTGACCTACTGTGCATGTCTGCTCAAAAATTAGGTTTTTCTTCTTTTGACTGCTTCTTTCTGTTTTTCTCATTGAATTGTTTTAACCTACATAACTCTGAAAAAAATCACTAATGGACCAGGTGCCTGAAAACTTTGCAGAATGAAAAGGCTGCATAGATTTTGCCCTGGTGGCCCTGAGCTGTCCAGGGTTAAGCTGTGCATTAAATGTGATTATCCCGTATTGGATATGTGGTTTTCCCAAAAACATTTTTGGCATCCTTGTATCAAAGGGCATGATGCTGCAAAACAGAGTGAGAGAGAGAGAATAATTTTGCTGAGCAGGGTTGGAGAAGATGCTTTAAGAGCTGCTGGCCCAAGAAGTGCCTTTCCAGGGACAAAGGTTGGCTTTTGCCTCCCAACAGAGTTAGCCACGAGGTGCACATGTGTGGTCAACCACAGTTGAGGGCACCCTCAGACCTTGGTCTGAAGTGATCCCTGCTTGCTCGTGAAGTTCCTGGAGAAACCCTTGGCCTGTAGCTACTTGGAAGGAATGCCTTCACCTTCAGCCTCTCCTGCAAGGAAAAGCCAAACAGTTCACCAACCCCATCATCTCGGTGACCTGAAATAACATGAAATGCCTTCATTTCTTGCTTGCTTTCTGCTGCAAGTACCTCCATCTGCTGGAAACTGAGACTAACATATACCAAAGAACAGTTTAGAAATCATGAGAACATGAATCATCGTGGCATTGGAATAGACCCACCGTATAAATTTCAGAGAAGGCTTACCAGATCCTTCCACTCACCTGGAGAAGTACAGTGCTTCAAAGCTACTTAAAAGTAGAAAATGCGTAGAGAGAAAACTGTCACTTTCAACTTCAGTGTCTGTATAACATGTCCCTGTACTGAAATGCGAGCGTGGCTGGGACTCTTTGCCTTTGCTAACACTAGCTGCATGCCACACACTCCACAGCGCACTGCCCTCTGAGGATAGGAACCCAAATGTGCAAATCACTTTTTAAAAATCTTGGCTAAGACACTCACCCCCGAGAGGTTCCAATCTAAATAAATCTTGTGCAGACAAAAGAAAGGGATGGGCTGCAAGCAGAGCCGGTGGCGGAGCAGTGCTGTTTCTCTGCGTGTATTTGTAGCCCTGCATCCCATTGTCTCATTGACACTGCCTGGCGAGTGGGTGGACGGGTGCTTAAATTATGAGCATGCTCTGGAGACGGTTGTAGTCAGCTTGTGCAAT